CATAGCTTTATCAGAATGTTTGATGACAATTTTAAAGATACTCTTTACAAACCAGACCAAATATAATATTCGTATTTAGTTTACTATTGTGACATTTTATAAAGAACTACAAAATCTACAAATATTTGAAAGATCTATGAAAGAGAGAATTTAAGTCTCTCAGATGCTTTTATATATTTTCGATATATTTCGATATTTTATGTTATTCAGAATCCATACAATATTTGTATGATGCATTTTGAAACTACTTATCTTTTGTAGTAGAATACTTTTCGAATTTAGAATCAATTTTTTATCGAGAGAAAATATTGAATTTTTTAATATTTTCGACTTATCGCTGATAAATATAGTGAATAAATAATAATTTATTTAAAAAAATAAGGAAAGAAAGGAAAATAAGAACAAAAATTATTTTTTATTCCAAAAAAGTATCATAATTATTATTTAAAAAAGGTAATTTTATAACTGTAATAAATTTTAAAAAATGTTCAACTAAATTGATTAATTGAAAATAATTTCCTAAAAAAACTAAATTCTGAGTCACGAATTCTAGAAAATTAATATTCAAATTAATTAAAGTAAACAATTCCGAATTAGATCAAAATGAAAAATAATCCTGCAGCGTTCTAAAGTGAAGAAAATAATTTTAATTATATTTTATAGGGATAGAAAAAAAAATGGAACTAATATCTCATAATGTGTAACGAAAGATTAAAAGCACCATGTATCTCTCTGCGATCAGAAGCTACACAATTTCGTCTTGTCATCGTATTTCCCATGCATCTGATTTCCGACATTAATTACTTGGTGAAGCATACTGCCGTCGAGAGAGATGCGGTCTTTCAAGTTTAATTGTACGAATAATTGGATGCCGTATATACACGACATCGCGTAAAAGCCAATGACAATCGGAGGATTGCACAGAGACGGGACGAGTTCAATCGCAAGAGAGTGGAAGCACTCTTCAACAAAGAAGAGCCTCTTCAGCGTAAACTGGAACGCGAAATTATTCTTAAGATGCAGTTAGGTTGCTCGTTAAAGCTTTACGTCTCGTAATCAGAGTTTTCCTGCGAATTTAGAAATGGGAACGGAACTAGGAATCGATCAATCAGTAACCTATTAAACGTGCTAGAGTGGAATTGTTCGAGCCAAATCGAAGTACGCATGCATAGACTAGTGAATCGCAAAAAACGTGTTTTTGCATTTTTTAAATTTTATTTGGACTCATATAAATGTAGAGGTTTTTGTATATGTATTTTATAATATTTTTCTGTAGAGATGCTCTTCTTCCTTTCGTAATATTTAAAATCAATATAATAAGTCTCTTTTTTTGCATTCCAAGAAACAATTTATTTTAATTTAATGCTGTGATCATATAAAGATTTTTTACGTAAATTTTATATCTCAAAATATACATATTATAAAAATGTTATATTACCGTTCCTTAAAATTTATAACATTAAAACGAAGCATTGTGTAGAATATTTGTATCATTATAAGTATATCGGATGAAATATTTGATATTTGGAAAATACACACATCGTGCATCATATTTCTAAACTGCTTGTAACGTGTTGCATGCATTCGTAAACCAAATGTAACTTTTCGGTTCGTCAGTCGTCACGATCGATTTTGTCAAATTTACAACGCAACTCCCGCAAAATCGGAACACAAAATTGGTGCTCGTTTTTCAACGCGACGTTGAGCACTATCAGTTTTGGCATCGAATTCAAAAGTCGTGCAAATTGAAATCGTCAATAGACAAGACACAATGCAGTTCTCGAAGATTGTGCAACTCATAGGATTGAAAGCGTCGGAGTCACTTTGCGTGTTTCTTTTTTTTTTTTTTTTTTGAGTGTTTGCTGTTCTAAAGCTAAACAAATTATTTAGCGTTTATATAAATAATAAAAATAATATTATCTATATCTGCATCTTACAATTAGATGAAAAAGTGTTATCTTCACTAAATTATCTAGAACAATGTTCAGATAATTTGATTTAGAGCCATAAAAATACTCAATTAGTAAAACTTGAGCGATAAAAATTTATTAAAGAAGTATGGGTATATTTTTATATCCGTTTTATAATTTAATTTGTTCTATAACTACATAAGCGATGTTAAAAATAATCTAAAAATATTATCTGGAAGTTATCTAGATGAATCGCCATAATCTTTTACCTAGATATATTTAAAATAAAATCATCTTTATCTTATGGAAGATGAATTTACATATTTCTTTTATCTCATTATTATCCAGCTAATTTTAAATTCATCCAAACACATCACTGCGTGTTGGAATTAATTTGACACGCAGCATAAAATTAAATACAAGATATCGCAATATTTTCATCGTCGCATAACATTTCCCTCTTTATTAATATTAAAGTTTGATTAAATTTAAATCAAAGTGATATTTCATCGAATTAATCGACAAGTTTTTTTATCATTCAAACATGCATAATGTGAAATCGACGTCTAATAATTTTTTTTTAACAAAATTTTTCTTATTTAAGGTGAAATATCGTTGCGCAAATCGCGGCTGGCTACGTCGGAACTTCATTCGTTACTTCGGTTTGCGAACATGAAAAATTCGAGAGCACGACATGAAATTTCTATTTTATTCTGTTTGCATTTTCTGGTTGTTCGCTCATAAGCGGATGTATGCGAACCTACATCTGTCCATTTCCTACTCTTCTCTATCGTAAAAACTATAAAAATAAAATTTTCGTGATGTACATATACATATATATCTATGCGGAATTAAATTTGACCTTTCGCATCATCAGCGTATATAGCGCGTATTAAAAATTTGTCAAACTTTTCTTGGAATTTAGTGAGACTCAAATGAAATATTAAAGGTTTTTATTATACATATATATATATATATATATTGACTCTGTCAAATATTTTTATATATACTTGTCAAAGCTCTCCGGCGGGTCTTTTGATAGTCAACACGGCGAATACGAGAGCGACGCGAAATTTCCATTCCGCATTTTGCGTCCGCATTTTCCCGTTGCCGTTCATAAACGGACGTCGGAGTGTCTGGGTGCATTCAAAGTGCGGCGGAATGACGTGTGTGCGCGAAATGCGACGGGCACCGCGTTGCATAAAGAGCGCGACACGCGACCTTCCGCGGATATGTAATTTATGAAAATACTGAAAACCGCGCGACACAAGGTCGCGACTCGACAGCTTCATCGATCGATCGCGAAAAAGAAGATAACATCGTTCCGAACAAAAATAAAACTGAAAGGTGTTATTTTTATCTGTAAGAAAAATCACGGTTCCCTCTCTCTCTCGCGCGCGCTTTTTAAATTAAAATCGAATTATTCGCTGCAACGTAAAGATCATATCGCATGATAAAATTGGAAACGAAGTTACACGAGGCCCGATAATACAATAATCACATTGTAGAAAAGACACTGTTATTAGAATATTATTTTTAATTAAAATTTTTCGTCGAACGAAAAATAAAAGAGGATCCGAAAGCTTGTAATGGCGCGCAAGCTGCACAATACAGGGGAAGAATGGCGAGGTATTATTTCGGAGTGCTTCCTTCCTCTCGAGAAGTACATTTGTTGTCGGTCGGCCACTCGTCTGTACCTTCTTTCGCGCCTTTTACCCTAATTGGACATTCAAGAACGGCACGAAGCTTTCGGGAGCATCTTTCGGGAAGAAACTAATGGCGAGTACTCGTTTCTTCCTCTTACCTTTCCTTTCACAGAAGAAAGTGCCTTTTCGAGATTTAACGACCACGTATCGTCGGACTATTGTAACAATACAATAACAGTATCGCTATCTTACTCGGATTTTACACATTACGTTATTTGTTCTCCAAAGAGAACTATTTGAACAAAAATTAAATTGTAATTAAATTAAATGACAAACTGTGCTGTATCTTAAATCTACGTATTGTTTGTCAAACGATATTTATATTATGGGCGCAGAGAAAAGTAATTAAAAAATTTAAGGATTTGCTCCCCTCTTGATTAAACACTGAAATTTATTTGCATATTTAATTTAAAAAAAAAATTAAAAAAATTAAAAAAAAACAAAAAATGAGAAACAAATAAAATGTTAATCATGCTCCCCCTAGAAAAAATCCTGCGGACGCCTCTGATGATTTATATGATGTATAAAATAGAAAGTAACGCTATTTTAAAAGTTGATATAGATTTAAAATAAAAGAAGTATAAAAATTTCAGCGAGGTCTCGAAAGATGTTAAAAGTTCATACAATTTACTAGGTATTAAATCTTCTAAATAATGATCGACCGAGAAATTCGTCATTTATGTCTCGCATTCTTTATCTTTGGTAGAGAATCATGAAATATAGAATAAAAACATTCTGTTTATATATATTGTAGATTAAATTAATGTGATAAAATTATAATTTTTGAAATATGAATAAAATTATAATGTTTTTATCATTAATGATATGTTAAATCTTATTTTATAAGAAATGTTTCAAGCATACAAAAATGATAGGAGTAAAACCACTGAATGGTACTACATCCTTCAGTGTCAGTTTATGGGAAATATTTATGATCTCATCCATCTTGCGAATATATCACAAACATTAAAATGCACTCATAGTTTTCTATTTTTAATTTTACATCTATTTTTAATTTTACACAATAAGCATATTCTGTTTAATTAGTGACAAGATTTATCTGCTAAAACTTTACAGGAAAAAATGTTGATTTTTCATTTTATAATACAATTGGGGATAATAAAATCTAAAATTGACATATTTTAAGTTAATTTTTACATTAAAACTATATTAATTTTACACAAATTGTATTTTAAATTATTATATTTAAAGTTTTGCATTTATTTTGCGTTAAAGTATACCAACACAGTATTTGTGTCTCCATTCAAAATATCCACATTACACTAAATTAAGACAAAAAATTCTGTGGACCATTTGGGACATATCTGTCAAAAACAGAAATGTTTAGCTGCTAAGCCAAAACGTTGCAAAAAAAGCCACTTACCGATACATCATGCGCTCCTGCCGATCGGCCTCTATATAAATTCTGTAGTACATCGCGATCATGATTATCCCCGGCACCCAGAAACTGACGCCGGAACTAATGACGGCGTAGAACTTGTTGACCTCGAACACACAAACGTCCGGGTAGGCCCGCCTGTACTCCAAGTGTTCCTTCGTGGCGTACCATCCCGCGAAGATCGGTAGGAAGCTCATAACAGTCGGGGAACACCACGACGCTCAACATGGTTCCCAGCCTCACGTTCGTCATGATTAACGGATAGTCGAGCGGTTGAACGATCGCGTAATATCTGTCGACACTGATGCAGCAGAGGTGGAGGATGCTGACGGTGCTGAAGAAGACATCCAGTGAGTTCCACACGTCGCACATGAAGTATCCGAATAACCAACGTCCGGAAAGCTCGACCGAAGCGTTGAACGTCATGGCGAACAGGGCGACCAGCATGTCCGCCAAGGCCAACGATACCACGAAGTAATTGGTAATTACCCGGAGCTTTCGGTGTCTCATAACCGAGACAATGACCAGTAGATTACCCAAAAGCGCAGAGAGAATGATGAAGCCCATAATGAAGCCTTTGAAGGTTAGCAGGAGGACGTACTCGACGTCGTGATAGTTTTTGCTGGTGTTGCGCTGCCCGGTGTCGAAAAGGAGCTCGCTCTGCAGATCCGTGCCGTTGTCCAGCTTTCCCTCCAATGTCTCGTTCAATCCCATTTTGATGAGCTGCGGTTATTTTTTGTCTTCTCTCTCGAGGGCTTCTTCTTCGTCGTCGTTTTGCGTTTCTTCCTTGAAGCGATGGACGGCGTGTAACCGATCCATTTACAAATGCCGGATTACGATTTCGCCTGCGCGATGTCGTAAATCTCGAGATTTTTCGCTCGCGGCATCCAAAACGATTTACTGGGAATGCTTTGTGAGCCGCCTGTCGGTAGAGTCCGTTCTCGGGAAATTAAATAGGAACGCATTTTTCGAGAAATGTGCGTATGTGAGCTCCGTTCAGTTATTTAGATTGATACTTGAATAGTAGAGTACTTGGTTACTCGACTTTCTTTTTTTTTTTTTTACAAAGTACTTCGTATATTTGGATCTTCTTGAGCTATTCTAATGATTGTCCGTTTACGTAGATAGTCGCAACTGCGATTAAATAGTCTTTCTTTGCCTTTCTTCTGTTCTCGTAATTTTAATTATAGTTTTACGCAGTTGCTCTTTGACTTTGTTTTAGGCTGACGACAAAACGGTATTTTCGAATGATGCATTTTTCGCAGATTTTGTAGTCTCCTCGCACAATGGTAATCTGCAAACAAAATATACACAAAGGTGCATAAATTAGTAAATAATGCATAATATAAAATTACATTAAATTATGTTTTATATTCTATATGTACAAAAAGTATTTTCTGTATCAAAAAGTATTTATGAATCTACGTCGAGAAATATTGTCGTTATTTTTTAATTTTTTAGATTAACATATGCACATTAATAATACGATACTGCACAACTCAAACTTTTTAACAAGTATAAGAATAAAAATTTCTATATATGTATTTTTCATGTGTAAATTTTAAAAGTTTATTACTTTGTATATCCGCTACACCTAGATAATACATCTAGATTTTTTAATTTATTTTTTATTTGTCATTTAAAATACAATTTTAATTTATTTAATTAATAATGGAAATATATTAAACTAGTAAAAAATAATAAATTTTAATAACTACACTATTAACAAAAATTTTCCTATTTTTATATTATACACAAAATTAATATTAACTTTTTCTAAATTTATTAATTAAGAATTAATTAAAGTGCTTGTAAAACTAAGACTTTAATTATAATTTTTTATTAAAGAAAATAATTATGATTAAAGCTTTTTCGTTTATTTTATGTTTGATAATAAAACTTTATGAAAGTTAACTAATTAAAAATTGTTTTATAGCCTGAGATATTAAAATAATTAATTTTTTATTATTGATATCTTTTCTCTCGTTTTCGCAATAATTCAATGTACTTTATTAAAGTTTGCTAATGAAAAATTGATAAAATTTAAAATTAAAAATTAAATGTAGAAATCTGAGAGTTTCAAGAAAATAATTTCATTGTTGAAAAAAGCATATTGACACATTTAGTATACATAGGTACATACACAGTATTTTATACGCCCCAAAGTTTGATGCTCGTTTTTCATTTACATATGGTTCGTATACATATATGTATACATGCTGTAAACACATAACTTGTTGTCATTCGGGGGAAGATTTTAGCGAGAAGGTAATGGTGCGAGATGATCCGTATGTCGTCGTAATACAGGGTGTCCGGTAACTAACGGACCAATGATTAAGGGCGGATTCTCTGGCCAATTGGAGACGATTCTTCCTCAGCAAAAATGTTGAGAAGTCAATAATTTTCGAGTTATAAGCGATTGAAAAAAAGGGTTTTTTGAAAACTAAACGTTTTGGAGTTAAAAGTCTAACATAATTACAGTCTTCAGTTAATTTCAGGTAGAGTTTACTATAATAAAATTTAATTAAAGGCTTAGTTATAAAGATACATAATGACAAATATTGGAAAGTGTAAAAAATGATGACCTTTTTCGACATTTTTGCTGGGGAAAATTGTTCCCAAATTGACCAAAGAATCCACTTGTAATCGTTGGTCCGTTAGTTACCGGACACCCTGTATATCTCTCGAGATGTAATCGCTATATAAATAATAATATCGGGAGGAATTAAAAATTATTTAACATTGCAAAAGCACAGTATGATAAATTTTCCATACATAGAAATTCCACGAAGCATATATACATACGTATTATTAATAGACAGTCAATATATCATGCCATTTACATAATTACTTGATCAAATAGTCATCGCCGCGATACTCTTATACGTGTCGGTTTATCGCAGAAGTTAATTAAATGTATAGCTTGATGAATCGCTAATCCAAAGATACGATACCGAACAATTAGAAATTTTCAATTCCGCACGATTAATTAATTCGCACGCGAAATAAGTGTATCTGAGGATAATGGTCATTTATCAAACCAATATCTTTCGCGATGTATAATTATTTAAAAAGATCGATGGACAGAGAAATTATTGTTTCATTGAGAGATTCTCTCACGAATGTTAGTTATTTCTTCAGTATACTCGGACCTGTAGTAAATATATTTTATGTTGCGCTTTCAGTTTCTCGTCGAGTTTGAATTAATTTGTTAATTATTTTCCGATTGAAAAGAACCCGCGAATTTACACGAATCGCAGAATCGAAAAGTTAAAATAACGAAGAGGTATATCGTTGATACATCAATTTCTATATAATATTAATAAAATGATATTTAAGGAGCACTCAATATATCGCATTTATTTTATATGGTTAATAAATATATTTTATAGTATAAAGATGACTATTATTTTATTATGGTATTTGACGCTTGTTTTTATACAGCACGTTGTTTGTACAGCGCGTTGTTATTGTACATGTGATACTATAATCTGATCCTATAATCGAGTGAGCAGGCAGCTGCGCAAATCACTTCATGTATCTGGATTATTTTCTATTATTATTCGTCTCTTAATTAATTAACTCTCGTAATACGTAAGAATATTGTGATCAGATGATGATTATTTGATCCAAGTAATTAAATGGCATGATACATATTTGACAGCTTATTAATAATACCTACGTAAAGTTCATATAGGATTTGTGCGCGTTAAAAATGTGCAACGATTGCAATATTGAATTTTATTATGTGTACACTTTCTGACAATCAATTGCGATTTAATTAGCCATTAAATCGACTCATCGCGCTGTATTGTCGCGGTAAATGGTTTGTGAATTTTTAACGTTTTCGAGTGGCGAACGGAAGATAGAGTTTTGTTTTCTGTCGTAATATAATAAAGTGCGCGTTAATATCACGCGCGATTAATATCGGGAGTGACGTGTAATTATAGTCGTATTTTGTTAGCGTTTGCATATGATTATAATTAACCGTTTTTACGTGTGAACATCATGAAAGCACAATACAAAACGAATGAGATAAAAAATGAAGGAAACGAGCAACGGCAAACAACCGTAGGATAAATACGAATTTTTTACATTTATATTAAAGATTATTATTAATTTAATTCATATTAAATAATACTATTTATTGTTTGAAATTAAGTGTTCGTTTATCTCATGTATTATAAGAAAATAAATTAAAATTATTGGATTTAAATATTATTGTGGAAAATAGTACATATTTTGGATATCGTTTTATAAAATATTTTAAATATATGAAATGTAAATTAAATATATTATAAATATAAATGTATATGTATATTTGTATGTTATTTGATTACAATGTCGATCTGCTATTGTGCATTCTATTGTATATTCTTGTAAATGTATATTCTCGTGGAAATTCGTTATCTTCGTACTAAAATATAATAAAACTTCTCCAGTGCGATGCGCACCAGCGAGGTTGATTAACATCATAGTCTGTAAAATATCATATGTAATGCGTCCTAAAATGAAGTGAGTGAAATATACCATCGGTAAATATTTCAAGTACGCTATTACTAATATTACCGTACAATTCACAATAAGCAACCATTTAAACGTAACATAGTAAATCAGCCAGTTTTTAACCATTATATTTCTTGACGTAAAAGTGTTCTAAATTATTACTTAATTATTATTTTAGTTTTAGGAAATTTTCTTGCTACAATTTTGTTTCGTGAATTTAAAAACAATATATATAATATAGTTTTGAAATTTTATTATACGTAAAATAGTTATATAAATATAATAATTAAAAAGAATTTATATTTAGAAATTTAAATATTTAATAATTCCGGAGAATTATTAATTTGTTAAAGATTTGGTTATAAAATCGATCAATTCAAATATTTTATTATAAAAATACATATTTATCTATTTATTTACTATATAACATAAATTTATTAATATTAATAATAATTAATTAATTGTTCTAAATATTTCTTAAATATTAATGTATTGTAATATTTTAATTGTATTTAATTTAATATTTTAATTGTATTAACTTTATTATTTGAAAAAATAAAATTAATAATATTATACATTTGCATTTACATATAAGTAATTTTACAAAATACATCGAATAAAAAAAAAGTCGTGAAATTTCTAAGGTCCAATTTTAATATTTGAAAGTTTAATTTGAAAGTTATGTTTGATATGAGAAGTTTTAAATATTAATCGCTCTGAATTGATCACGGGCTGAATTTCTTTATTGTAAATATTCGTAACTAATTATCCACAGTCAATGTATTTAAATGTATTCCAGCATGTATGAGTATATAATCCGCGTTAAAAGGCCGTTGATTTACCACAGGAATACGCTTGTATGTTCTGCAAAATTGGATTTACATGGGGTTTGCGAGAAACGCGCGAGAATAACAATCACAACAATACAATCTAATGCTAAAGTAATATGTTGTACATAAAGCAATATGTATATCAGACAAAATGAAAATAATAAATGCAAATTAACATGCGGTCAAACATACTATGTTCGTAGAGCAGCTAAAACTTTATTTCAAACTCGCGATTTAGAATTTAATTATTATGACATTTCCCCCACACTCCCCATTTACACACACGTCGAGATTACACCACATGAAGATTCAATTATCATGAGCGACATATAAATAATATTAACAATATGAATTTTAGTTTGGACAAGGTATAAATGACATTAACAGTAACAAGATATAAATAACAATAATGGATAATAAATGGATACTGTAAAATATATATAAATATGAAAAGAACTTAATGTTTAATAAACGTATGTAAATAGAGATACTATTAAAAACATGTCACACAGAAAATTCATACAATTCTCTCGTGTTTAATATTTAATCAAACTGATACATTTACTTTTTCTCATTTTCCGTGATTCGTAAAAAATCATTTATTTTTCTAGATTTTTCATTCAAATACTGTTCGTATTTAAATACATGCAGTATAAAAATGTGTTATCATCTTAGTGTCAACATTGTAATAAAAGTTTTATTAACACAATGTCTTATGATTATATTTTTATTAATAATATTATTAATAATATTATTAATTATAAAAACTTATTTATCTTGATTTATTAACTGTTATTTAAATTTAAGAGATATAATGTTATAATTTTTTATTATAATTTTATTATTTTTAATTCTTATAAATAATTGCAATCTTCATTATTTGTTATCATTATATTCTAATAAAAAATTGATATTAACTCTAACAATAAGACTGACCCATTTATGCTTTATACGTTAT